TTTTGTCCTTTAGGAATTCATCGAACTAAGTTTGTGTTTACGTTGATGCGGCGATACATGTGCACGAAAGAGATGCTGGGAATTTTAAATTTAAAAATATATTTTTTTAATGTGTTTTGGTTAGAAAATCTAGCCGATTTCATTTAGATTCATTTTCTTTTTGTTTATGACTCCATCACTTTTTCTTATTAAATATCTTACATTGTGATAATAGAAGATCTACCAAGAAAGGTGAAACATTGCAAGAACCTGGAGGCAGATTTGTTGTAGATAATCTAGCGATTAAAACATTATCTAAAAAAATTTCGTCTTCGGAAATTTCTCTTTTAATTAGGGTAGCATTTTTCAATCAAAATTGTGGTCAGTCTCGTTACAATGAGTAATTAATGCATTTAGATAAAAGTTTATATAAACACAAAAAACATCTAGAGATCACAAGTTTGAATAAAGGATAAGCGTCTTCTACGTTTAATAAAACACGTGTATCCACAAAATAATAAGTTTATATGAATAGCTTTTTAGATTTTAAATGTGAATTAAGTTTAAGCGTCTAATGATTTTTTCTTTTTCTTTCAGATTTAACCAACTAAGTCTTTGGCAATTTCAACCATGGAAAGATTAACAATCAAACAACGTGTTAAAGTTTCAAGAGTGCAGTTGGAAAAATTGTTCGTAAATTCAAACATTCCTGTAGTGTACGAGAATGTGACCGAAAATCCAGACACATCTATTCTTCATCGCGCGTAAGAATTGAACCTCTCCCCAACAACATTATATTGTCTCCAATTGCACTCTCCGTTGGTCAATTATGTTGACCAAAAAAATCGCGAAGTTCGCAAAATGCATTTCTGTTTGAACGTCCATTTTCGTAATAGGCTTCGACAATACGTTGTTTGATTGTTAATCTTTCCATGATTGAAATTGCCAAAGACTTAAGTTGTTAAATCAGAAAGAAAAAGAAAAAAATCATTAGACACTTAAACTTAACTCACATTTAAAATCCTTGAGGACCCAAAGCGTTGTGAGTTCAATACCAGGATACAGCAGCGGTGAAGCCAGAAACTTGGAGAGTTGAGATAAAGGGAAATAACTGAGACATCCGGAAGTGGCATGGCACAATCTACTTATCTGGATGAAATAAAGGGTTATATATATATATATCATTTGTTTATATATATAAATATACATCATTTGTTTACATTTGATACGCCATGAGCAGTTATGAATGTACGAGATTCATGGAAGATTGAAGTTTATAAGCAGTAAATCCAACCTCCCATCCTTTGTGGCCGAGCGGTCAAGGCCCGTCAGCGTAAATGACGGCTCCGTATAGGATGCAGGTTCGAATCCTGTCAGAGGACGAATATTTTCTATGAAAATTTCTCGGACATTCAGGCCGGTAAATGTTATTTAATACTGTTTATTATAAACAGAGCATTTACTTAAATACTTGTATCTATAAAAATAACGTTAAACATAAAAATGTCTTTAATATATATATATAATTTTCCTAGTTTCAGGTCATACAAAATAGTCATCTTAAATAATTTAATAAAAGCACAAACTGACGTGTAAAGACGCGATACTTTTAAAACATGAGGTGTGAAGATATTATATTAAAAAAACTGACTTTACATTAATCAATGCATACATATATTCACATCATTAAAGTACTTAAACATCAAACAAATTATATTTATGTGTGTGTGCATGATATATTCAGGATAGACAGATAGACAGATATAAACAGACTGAGATAGATAGATAGATAGATATAAACAGACTTAGATAGATAGATAGATAGATAGATAAGTAAATAGGTCTCTTGTTTTATCAATAGATATTTTCTCGGTTCTTTTCATATGATATTTAATGTAAACAAAGATGAGATTAAATTTTCTAATAAATGCCGATGGCCATCTTTGTATTCCCTGTAGATCTAATTAAATCGAAATATTTCTGAATGTGCTTCTTCGCACGCTGTCCCCATCAGCTAAGTTTAAAGCCTGTTTCACTGACCCGAAAGAAACAATAGTGGCTTGGTGGCGTCACCATGCTTTGACGTCATGAAAATGCACAAACCTATATCAGTTGTACTCTGACATCAGGTGAGTCAGTGTAAAACACAAGCTTAGGATACTCATGAAAAGACGATGTGAATTATAGGAATTCAAACGGAGCATGATAGTAAATGCCAGATAAATGAGACATCCTATTTTTAAAACTGTGGGGACATTCCTTGATCTACGGTGTCACAGGTATATTTTGAATACTTATGCTGACAGCGCACAGTCCAACCAAACAGACAGTTATTCGCCATGCGTGATACACGCTTAGGTGATCATGTATCTTTCGACACAGATTTTTTTCCGCAGTAGGTTGCCATTTCTTTCTGTGGTAGACCAGTTGCCATCCAAGGCTATAGAAACCGGGCTGTCCTACTATTTGCCCATCGCTGGCGGAAGGAGAAGAGGATTCGTACCTTTCCCAAGCACGTTAGCACGTAAGTGAATGTAATGGATTCGAGTGGAATTCGAACTCGGCTCTCCGATTCCTCAACCCGCTATCCATTACTCCACCGTACCTCCACAAGACCTTAATGATCGAGAATAGAGTCGTCCTTCAAGAATTGCCCCTCTTGCCTTCAATATGTTCTGTGAGTGTTAAATTCTCCAAGCCGTCTTTCCTTATTACATACCCTAAAACTTTCAAGTATCTCTTTCTTAGTATATTTGTCATTTTTGTTTTCATTTTTTCTAAAATAGTGTCTTTGCTCACATGCTCAGTTAATAGTCTTCACAGCATCCTTCGAAGTGTCATAAAACTGCGCTCAAGTAGGCACTCTTTAAGTTTTGTATCGCTCCTCGCTGTTTGAGTACTTCTACTTCCACGAATCCACTTCCTGATCAACTGGGTGGGCCTGAATCCGTTGTGGATTCTTAGCATTATGAAAAAATTACATAGGATGATTGATTACTTTGCAAAACTCAAAATTTTATCATTTTTAACAGTGCTACGGATTTATATTCTTTATTCATAATTGATTACCTTCATTGAAACTAGTTTCAACACGTTCAAGTTTAATGCCATATTCCAAAAGTGTGATGTGTGTTAAGTAAAAGTATAACATCGCCTTCTTCATTTGCGTGTGAGTGACACAAACGAACAGCCATTGAGATTTTATTATTATCTTTATTTTATTCTATCATTATTATTATTATTATTTGTGTATGTTATGTTTCCTACTTTGTATCCTGTAGAGACGGGTCCAAACTATGGTCCTTAGGCCCTACAGGAGAATTATCATTTAATTAATAGCACTTTTCTTACTATATAGGATGTTGCTTGGAAGCCGATATTCTGGGCAACTTGTATGTTTATGTTACTTATTATTATTAATATTATTATTTTTATTTCCTTTGATTTCTGGCGTTTACACATTTCTTTCCGGGTATCGCCCAGGGACCTAAGCTTAGAAATGGCATCATGACAATATTCACTGACAAAATAAAATTACATAGATGAAGCCCTTCGTAAAGTGTGGGCTGTACTTGTCAGAAATTATTATTATTATTATTATTTGTATGTGTTATGTTTCCTGCTTTTTATCCTGTAGAGCCGGGTCCAAACTATGGTCCTTAAACCCTATAGGAGAATTGTCATTTAATTGATAGCACTTTTCTTAGTATGTTGGATGTTCCTAGTAGGGCGATCTTCTGAGCGACCTGTATGTTGATGTTATCTGGGTCACTGTTAATAAAATTGTCCATTCCTTTTCTCACGAGGTCCGGAGCTCCAATTACTATTGGTACAGTCTTTAACTTCAATCCCCACATACTGTTAATCTCGATCTCCAGATCCATGAATTTATGAGCCATGAGTGGCTGATCACTGGTTATTAAAAAATCGTGATCATAGTTGTCTGTCTCAAATCATATCAATATTCAGTGCCGCATGTACGAGACGCATATCTAGTAGGTTAGGTCAGTATTCTTTAGCTTCCATAGGATATGGTAGTGGAATTATCGAGATGACATTTATTAATATCGCATTACCAGACACGGCGCCTCAATTGGGCGGGTGATGTTGCTAATTGGACTCCAGAGAACTTGCAACATGTAACATTGTACGGTGTCATGGTCCAAGTTGTTTCTGGACGATGCTAGAATTAGGGACCTTATCTGTCAGGCCGGTGTTGCTTCCATAACGTTGTGAGTGTGTTCACTTTGTATGGATCAAGTTCGCCGATTCACCTAAATAACCGGTAACCGCTACTTTAACCAGTAACCGCTACTTTACACCGCTTTGTGATATATTGTACTCATTCATGGACTCCTTTTCGAACGGAACAGGATAATGAGTGCCAAACCAATCTGTCATTCCATTTCTAAAATTGTTTGATCAGCTGACATACTTCGATTTACAATGTTATTTCTATACCTAATATAAGGTATTACCGCTCAACGTAGATATCAAAGTAGCTGGCTACTGGGTCTTAATGATAGTGACCAAAGTTGTCCATCTCAAATCAGGCGCATATCTAAAAGGTCAGTTCTGCATTCTTTAGCTTCCATGGAGTATCGTTGTTGATAAACCAGCAGGGTACCCTGTGAATATAGCATGTTCCGATGAGTCCCAGTTTGTTTGTTTTTATGGTAGAGATCGAGCATAGCGCATATCCATTAGAACTGTTTAGGCTAGTGCCGTAATGGCGTGTGATGGTTAGTCCTTTTTTTTCTTTAGCGGCATATCAACAACTTCATGGGTTATTTAATGCCGAAATCTAGATATTTTCAACACAATTTTTGTACCGGGGCGGAGAGATAATAATGGTTTTAGTGATACAAGTATTACTATTCATCCCATAGCTGAAGGGGGAAGCGGTAGAATTACACCTTTCCCAACGGTATTTGAACATGACGAACCCAACGGGAATTGGAACTCGGATCTCCGATTAACATTTCTGAGCCACTATCCATTGCAACACCTGCACATCCAAGCTTACAGCACCTGGTATTCCCAAGCCGTCGCCCAACGTCTGACCAGGTTCGACATTGTTTAACTTCGGTGATCGTACGGCAACCGGTGTTTCAACGCGATGTGGCCGTAAGGCGGATATGTGATGGGCCCATATTAACATGTCAATGACCCCTACGATGCATTGCTTTGTGAACATTTACACTGACTCATGGACTCTATGCAACCCAACAACGATCAGTTATTCAAGCAGTATAATGCACTATGTACAATATTAGCAACATTAGATATGCAGATGATACAGTATTGATAGCAGACACAGAAATTAAACTACAGGAATTGCTACAGAAGGTAGTAAAGGAAAGCAAGAAGAAAGGACTAAATATCAACTGTAAGAAGGCAGAATGTATGGTTGTCAAAAAAAAAAAATACAGGCCATCAAGTAAATCACAAATTAAGAAAGCGTAAAATTAAAATATTTTGGAAGTGAATGGAAAATGCGACACAGAAATCGAAGGCGTACTCGGATAGGAAATGATGCCTTCCAAAAGTTAAGCAAAGTATTAAAAACTAAGAAAATTACATTCGTAACAAAAGAGAAGAGTACTATGTGATAGCGGTGCTCCTATATGGCAATGAATACTAGACATTCTTCTCACAGATGAAGAAGACTTGAGGCAGCAGAAAAGATGCTGAGAATACCATGGATCGAGTCTTAACACACGACTTTATCCGGGAAAAATATTTCTCTAGGATAGAAAGTTCAGTACTTAATACTCTGTTCTTGGAGTTAAATATTTAACAAACTTCTACCACTCGTTTGTAAAATCCTAACTAGCCTACAAGGAGTAAGGCTCCTATTGTGTCACAGCTTCATTTATTAATTGAGGATTGATGTTACGATGTATTGCTTGCGTGATTATAACGCCGCCCTGTGAAAGAAAGCGAAGGTTCCTGATTAATCAATTAGTACTCAGTGCCATATCTCAATCAGTCCTTTTTATTCCTTGCTTATTTGTAGAATTTTTAAAAGATATTTCGTTCACGGCGACGCCGATGACGCGTTTTGTTTTGTATGCGGAATACGAAAGATTGAATGTCTCGGCGGCGAGATCTGTGTTTGCTTTTGAGGATACTGTATCAACTGACAAATACATTGAATGTACATTACTTTTTCCAGCGTCTGATAAACTGTTAAAAAAGAAAATTAAAAAAGCAAAATACGAGGGTGGCAAAAGTAAAATGTCTAAACAAGTTTTCCATTTTATCATTTCAATCGAGATATACGATAAAAAGGTCTGATAAAGTAAATAAGCTGCTGTTAGCAGTCTTTGCCAACACGTCGACTGGTAACATAATGCCACTTTATAGCATTGACAAAATAAAATAAAATAAATGATGTCGGTGATGAGAAAAACAGTTCTCCCCAGAAGACCGACAAGCCCACACACTTACAAACTGACACTCGACTATAAAGGGGGCATTTGTATACACATCAGTATTCATTGAACAATTTCACTCACACCTTGCGAAGCTTTTCTGCTTGCCATCAAAATGGCTGATGCCAAACTCCAGGAGAGCAACACTATACGCCTCCTTGGCCTCACTTTTTCCACTAACATGGAGTGAAACAACTATATCGTATCAACTAGCAGTATAACCCGCCTTCGACCGGGTCTTTCATTACTGGGAATTTTTGCCACTCAGTTGGGGCAGTTTAAGTTTTAAGTCAGCCCACCCGAAAATCAATATTAGTAACAACAATTGGGTGCAACTGAGGCACATCCCCAAATGGTTGGGATAATAATTTGAATAGTGGGTTATCCTAAAAATGGCTGTTTTTGCGTTCGCAATCTTGCAAGGAAGAAACCTCTACCATAGATCGTCATTATAATAATATACGATAATTTTTATTCATAATATTATTTTTTTAGAATACTAATAATCTTTTGCGCTAGATTTCAACACTCTAAATTGATTGTACGCTGTTTTTTACGGACATTAAATTTTGCCTTTGATTTTTGCGCAAAGTGTAAAAAATCAGTTTTTTTTCGATTTTTCACCTTCAAGGTTGTAATTTTTTCCAGCATTTTGGACTCAAAACTGGCACTGAAGAATAATCTATCAAGCTAAAAAATTTCATCGAAATCGGAAGAAAACTGTGGAAACGCATAAACAACATCCTCACACACACACACACACATGCATACATACATACATACATATTTTGAGAATTATAGATATAGATTCCTATGTCTGCTACGATGGACGTTATTTCACTGTGTCGTGCCAGAAAATTGTTCTTGTCTGAATCCATCTTGCACATTTATAAATCTACCATTCGTCCATGCATTGTCATATCTGGTGTAGTGAACCTGCTGTATATCTCGTGATTCTTGACAAAATCCAAAGAAGGGTCTCGACCCCAGTCACTTTCTCACCGACGTGACGTGGCTTCCCTCTGCCATTTCTACAAATATTTTCATGACAACTACTCTAATGGCCGTTTTTTTTTTCCGGGTGCCCCGAATATGTAAATTTAAGCCTTCTACTAGATTGGCAACTAGGCCTCACCGTTTTACTTTTGAACTTGCTAGATGCAATCGTCAATTCTACTCTAACAGTTTATTTTCTCGCACTTCCCACCTGTGAAAGTCTCTCTCGATTTCTTGCTTCCCACATAGCTACGATCTTCAAAAATTTAAATGTCACGACAATCGCCATCTTTTGTCCTCTTGCACCAGGTTTCTAATTTGTCCTTTCCTCAATCCTGATTAGGCATCTCGCCTAGTCATTTTCTCGCAGATGTGATGTGGCTTCCCTCTGTCTTTTCTATAAATATTTTCATGGCAACTGCTCTGACGAGCTACTTTTACTGGTACCCCAACTGCATGAATTTAAGCGTGCTACAAGGTTGGCATTTCGGTCCCACCCTTTTACTGTCGAAACAGTTAAAGGTAACTGCCTCTTCTACTCCAACAGCTTCTTCTCTCGCACTTCCCAACAATGAAACTCCCTTCCTCTTATTGCTTCCCTGATAGCTATATTCTTCAAATATTTAAGCATAATGTCCATCGACATATTCTGATGACTTGATCCTGATCCCCGTTCTTCTCTGTAGCCTTTCTTCAATCACCCCTCTTTACACTTGCTCTCACTTTCTGTAACCCCTGGCGTGCTGGTGGCACTCCCGCCTTGCTTGGGGTGAAATGCTTAAAAATGAAAAATCCTCTCCATTTTCTGCCTTCTCATTCTCTTTCACTTTCACTTTCACTTCCTGTAACCCCCAGCGTTCTTGTGGCATTTCACCTTGCTCAGGGTGAATCGATTAAAAAATAAAATAAAAAAAAATAATAACCATCATATTATAAGAAATATTTTTCAGGTGAAGCTAAAGCTTGGAGCAAAATAAAATTCCTGTAGAGCCAAATTAAGAACGAGTTCACTAACAATGGCTTCAGTGAAAATCACCCTGATTAGCATTGGTAGATATTTATTGGGTTTGGTCTGCTTTGAGGTTACAATAATGGGTACCTTATAAATATCAATCTTACAATACTAGTACTAGTTTGTGTGGCTAGTTTATTGACTATTTCTTCTGGAGAATTTATTTGCTAAACTTTCCAAGTCCTGGTTATGACGACAAAATACGTCCGACAACGAGGCCTTTGATCGGGAGGTTTTGAATAGCGTGGAACCGCACTTTAATTGCTGGTGTTCCCAGGTCCACCCTGACCCAGAGTGGTAGCAACTGTCAGCATCCCAGCTATGGGCAAATATTTAACCCACACGGAAGGGGTTAAAACACTGTGAAAGTATAAAAATAGGTTTTAAAAACAAGCAATTCTCTGTTGGAAAAAATATTACAAGCAATACATTTTGAAGAAAAAAATCATTACCACAATACATTATTACCAGCAATATATTTTTGAAAAAAGTGTTACCTACAATACATTTTTGAAAAAATATTACCTACAACCCATTTTTGGAAAAAAATATTAGCAGCAATAAAAATCTTGTCGACATTAAATAACTCATTGAGGTTGATATACCGTAAAACAGAACAAACCAAACCAAATTACTAAACTTTCCTTTATGATGACACAAAAGCACATCTCACTTAAATCACTTTATGTTCCTGGTTATGCGACCACTCGTATCGAAGTAATGCCCGCTCGTCGGCTTAGCACCCCTCCACGTGCGGCCTTACAGTGTCCATAGGAGTCAGGTTTGTAATGTGTATTGACGCTTCAAAATTCCTGCAGTTCTCTGCCGACTTCGCACCGTGTATATATACAAAATATAGACAAAGACAATCCGTCACTGTCAGAATATCACGCCCACTGACCAATCGCTGACCATCCTGGCCGATCCTCCACATTCTGTAATAATTTGCAGCATCGTTTGACCGTAAAGCTCAATCGATCTAAGACAGGTGATAGCCTAAACCCTCATTGTATAGAATCCATATTGGTTGTTAGCTTATATCTAAACTCTTCATTTCATTACTCAATGGACTTTCAACCTTCAGTCATTTTAATATGATTATGCTTACGTATTAAAAAAGCGGTAACTTCGATGTATGGTCATGGGAACAATGATAAATACTGATTATCATCAATTTACATCAATCAGATAACACTGTTGTTTTTGTTTTCATAAAAGGACTGTTATTTTTTATTCTAAAAGCATCGAAAATATTGGTATCGTCTAAGAATATTGGTTTTGTAGTATTAGGCAAAGTTTAATAAATAAAAAAAACAAATAATTTTTAAATCCCCTAAAAAGTAACACCTACTTATCTCTTTAACATGTCATTAATATTAACAGAAACATTCTCAAGGACACGTCAATCAGCGAACTACGTGTTGCTATGATCTGGGTGAGAAAAATGTCTCTGTGCCGAAAATTCCAAATCACGACCGAACTTCGATATCACATCGTGCTCTTGAAAAAAAATTATATATATATATATATATATATATATGTGTGTGTGTGTGTGTGTGTGTGTGTGTGTGTGTGTGTGTGTGCTTTCGGTTGCATCTATGCAAATCTTTTCTTCTGTGTTAACATTATTTGATACAGTTGCTTTATATATTATGTTATTAGTTAAACATTTATTATTAAGTGGAC